CCCGACGATGACCTCGTTCCCCAAACTCCTGTCGTCAAACCCCCACCTCTTCGCCGATCTGCGCGTACCCCCACTCCCTCCGAACGCCAATGCGATATGAACGGAGTCCCTTACACATCCGCCACTCAACGCGCTGTCCTGGACTCCATGGCCGCCGCCGATCGCTTGCGCACCTTGCGTCCACCCGATCCCACTAACATCGAGAGCATGGCGTTATTCACTGACCTCCTTGCGGCTATGCCGGACCTCATCGCCACTGAACATCCTGACGACCCTTCAACCTACGCCGAAGCCATGGCTTCTTTAGATGCTGCTTCCTGGACTGCCGCACTCCAGGAGGAGTTTACGTCGCTACGCGATCTTGGCGTATATAAACTCGTACCTCGGTCATCAGTGCCTACCGGTCGCAAGATTATGAAAGGTCGACCTGTATTCAAGCTTAAACGCGATCAACATGGCCTCCCCGCGTGTTTCAAAGCACGTTACGTATGCCGAGGTTATTCTGCCGTCTGGGGTCAAGACTATACAAAAACTTCAGCACCTACCGCACGCCTCGAATCTTTTCGCATTCTCGCACACCTGGGTGCTGCGCTTGACTGGGAGATTGACCAGCTCGACATAAAGACCGCGTTCCTTTACGGCTTGCTCGATCCTGACGAAGTATGCTATATGGAACAACCCGACGGTTTCGTCGAAGCTGGGATGGAGGATCACGTATGGGAACTTCAGCGAGGACTTTATGGGATGAAGCAGGGTGGCCTCGTCTGGAATCGTACAATGAATAGCGCGATGCTCTCCTGGGGATTTACTCGGCTTCAGTGCGAACACTGCATATACTATCGGCGCAACGACGCCGGTATTCTCCTCATAGCGATTCATGTTGACGATTTCTTTACCATTGGAAGCACGAAGAACGTAATTTCACAATTCAAAACTCAACTTCGTACGAAATGGACGGTGTCAGACCTTGGGGAGGCGCATTTTTGCCTCGGTATCGCGCTCGACAGGGATCGTGCCTCACGCACAATAAAACTCTCCCAAAGCGCGCTCATCGATAAAATCGTTAAGCAATTCGGACTTACCGATGCCGTCCCCATCTCCACCCCCATGGAACCTGGCTTGCACCTATCCCGCAAAGACCATGCCCCAAGCACTGACGATGAGCGCGACCTCATGAGCCGCACGCCATATCGCTCGCTCGTAGGGTCCCTCATGTACCTCGCGATCGGTACGCGACCTGATATCGCTTACGCCATACAACAGCTCTGTAAGTTCCTGGACTGTTATGGTCATGCGCATTGGGAAGCTGCTAAGCACGTGGTACAATACCTTAAGGGGACGCGCGAGACTTGCCTTATCCTCGGAGGAGAACACACCGCACGCCTCCTCGGCTACACAGACAGTGACTTGGCTAGTTGCGTGGACACACGGCGCTCCGTTAGCGGGTATTGTTGCACCCTTGGCACTGGCATCATCACGTGGAGCGCTCGTCAACAAAAAACGGTCTCTCTCTCCACTTGTGAAGCAGAATATGTGGCCGCTTCGGAAGCCGCCTGCGAGATCAAATGGCTCAGAACCCTCCTCGGCGAGCTCGAATTCACACAATTAGCCGCCACTCCCCTACTATGCGACAACAACGGCAGTATCGTCTTGTCCGAAGACTCCTCGTTCCACGCTCGAGTTAAGCAAATCGACATTAAGTACCATTCAATCCGTCAGCACGTTGAACAAGGTCGTTTGAAACTACACTACGTGAGGTCGAAGGACAATCTCGCGGATATTTTCACAAAAGCTCTGCCCCGCAAGGACTTCGAACGTCTCCGCGCATGTTTAGGACTCCGGTAAAGCAATCGAGGAGGAGTTGTACACGATGTTCGCATCGAGGAGGAGTGTTAGCGCACGTCATGTGCACGTGAGCGATACGAACATCGTCTGCGGAGTTTAGAGGTTGGAATACCAACCACGGACGACATATATATATATATTCCCTTCCATCATTCCCCTCTTCCCTCAGTCCGTTACATCAGACTGAGGGTAAGTCGCTTATTATCATCACGCCGTACCTAGATTACTCACATATCATTCATAGAGACTGATATTGTCTAGGTACTTGCTAATCCAGTCCGTTACATCAGACTGAGGAGACTGATATTGTCTAGGTTCTTATACACGGACCACCATCGCCAGCTTGCACTGCTGCAGCATACACAGGACATTCCAAAGCCTGGTGTTAATTCACTCATCAGTACGTACCTTCAACTCGGGAGCCGACGCTTTCATTATTCCAATTGTAGGCTTCCATATTTCCCCTATACTTCTACCTGAAGAGCTTTTAATTTGCTCGGCGTGTCAGTGTTTCCACTTATTGGCACCCTCAAGTCAATCGTCACAGCATCGAAGCTTGCTGGCGCCGCAAGGACGAGTCCCAACTAAACTTTCATGGGTATGTACATAGTATGAGCGTCTGTTCTAATAGCATCTACAATGAGCACCCTTCGCTGCCCCACGGCAGTTGACAGCGATGACACAGGCCTGACGCATGCTAAACGGCAGGATTCAATTTACCTTCTCTTCGGCCAAATACCGTCAGCAGAATTTTCAGTCGATCAGGACTTTGTGGGAGACAAGCAATGGTTGCACGGGAAGAGTGAGAGATATGACACAGAGGTTTGTCAGATCACAGACCTTTCCTTCGGTGAACACAATCTCCAATTGATCTCTGGATAGTAGAAACGGATGCTGCACATAGGGTCGAGTCCAAAATAACTGTCTCGTCGATTGGGAATCCTGCCACTTGCTGATCAGTCGTCCGCTTCATCAGCCGCAGCATACTGAACTGGCCTATTTCGCTGCCATTCGTGTTAGGTCCCCGAATCATTGATGGTGTTCAAACAAAGTTTTGTGGTTGGTTCGTCATTTGTATATAGGTCGGCATTCATAGCGAGAAACAACTCATGCTCCATAGTCCGCGTCAACCACAAGAATATTTGCTGTCATCTGGATATCATTATAAATGTATGAAGTGTGTCTGGAGCACCATAATCAAGAATTATAAGTGCGGCACCAAACTAGTCCATGACACCACCTTGTATGCATCAGGAGGAAGATTGCGTAAAGTGGTCAACATAAGTACCAAGAGGACGACACGAGCTGTGATGTACAACGTGACAAGTGCGCAACAAGTCATAAGACATACACCCCATATGATGTGCCTTTCTGAATCGGGTAGGCGTCGTACTAGATATATTATTTCCGAGTTTAAGTAGGCACTCAAACAAAGGCAGGGCGTGCAAGTTGTAACGACGGCACTTATGCGCCATAGCACCTGTTCCTCGTATGTTGGGAACGCAAAAAACCAAGCCATACAGTGGATGCCGCCAAATATGATTGCCATGATCAGTGCAGCTTGCTGAAGAATCGTTTTGTCCGAAACGTTGAGTTCGATGCTGCCATCAAATGTTGGAACTTCAAGTTTTCGAGATGTGGGAATATCAGCCCAGCCTATCAGTTCTATAATTGGGCTGAAGACTCGAGGCAAGTATCGAAGCCGAGCGAATTCATCTGTGTCACTGACACTAAGGCAAACATAATCAACAACGGTATAATTGTTAAGGCGCATACTACATACTCAATGTGATCCTCTGGCCTTGACTCGCTCGACTTCCAGTACACTGGATGTGGACATCGCACATCGAGAGGCTTGTTCCACCACACAGCATAAGTTAGAAAATTAAGAACCGCAAAAGCGAGTGTTCCCACTTCGAGCTGAGTGGTTTCGAGGCGATAGATGGCGCGGGTGATGAGCTGCATAACGAACCAGGCCACCTGAAGCATGACCAATCCTTTCGATATCGCATTGCCTTTGCTTTTGTCATGAATCTGGTTTGCTGTTAGGGTAGGGACTTTGATACACTTGTCATGTATCAGTTTGAGGATGTGCTTAGGTTGTAGCGTGCGGTAGGGTTCATCGTTCACATAAAGCATAAAACCACCCATAAGCACAAAGAAGCTGTGCGTCCGAGTCCACGTAAAATCTAAGGATGCATATGAGTCAACATTGGGGTGAGCACGAATCTGACTCACCTTCCGAGTCAGACTCGGATTGCTCTGACTGCATCCGCCTTACAACCCACCTCACGAGAGCACAAAGGAAACGCCAAAGAGACACCGGCACGCCTGTAACAAGCAGGACAGAGAGGCGAACGAAAGCCTCAGTCAAGCGCGGAGAGAGGCGAAGGAAGCGATTCGCAGTTCTAGGTGCTTCAATAAACTCACTTTCTAGAAACGAACGTGTAGTGAGTTGTGCGATGCCACAGAGTTTCCAAAAACCCAACTCACCTTCAGACTCCGGACGAACATTGGGATACCCCGATTCCTTGAACTGTCTGGTGACTTGATGAGCGCTGAACCACTGGCGCATAGCCCATGTGACAATCAGCTCAGGAGCGATTAGCGCCATTATCATGATTCCAAGTTGTCGCCATAGAATATGATACCAGCTGCTGTTCCTAGGACTTGGGATATTGGGATGGATGGCACTGTATATGCATGCGAAAAGAGTGAGAACGGAGCTGGAGATGATAGTCCATAAGGTTCTGGTGGTGAATGATGGGGCTTTAAAACTGTCATTGGTAGTATTTGTTGTGTTTGTTGTAGGTGAAGCTTGGATTACTTCAATGAGGTAAAGGAAGATGCAGAAAAGTGGTAAGCACATTATTAATATCGAATGTCACTTTGGGGTGTATTGCGGCATGCATCTTGTTCACTATTTGTATGTTACTGGCAGGCGTTAGTACAAGGCTGAGAACAGGCTGTTCTTATCTCTCGAGCGTTCCGACGTTCACGAAAACGAGATACGCGGATCCTTGCAAGTACCTTGCCCATCGTCGCTGTCTCCAAAACGTTGAACGTTAATATTGTAAATGGCACTGGCACTTGCAATATGCCATCAATGTTGTTATCTAATATCTATGCACTCTTTTTTCCGTGCTCTGGGCATGGACCTGGTCACGTTCTCCATCAAAGGTGTTTGTCCCCGAGTCTCTCGTAAATTTAAGCCGGCGAAATAACATAATAACAGCGACAGCATCTCCACTAATCGCATGAGTGCGCTAGTGAAGTCGTAAGTACTTAAGTGTTCGTAACGCGCGTAAGTTAGGGTTATCGTACGATGACTGCACCTTCGTGCGCATGCTATAATGGACTACATATTGTATCCGAGTCGCTCCCTAGTCGCTCCCCAAGTACCACCATGATTGCGCCGCAGGATGACGAGGAGACGCCTCTCCTGCAACGACCAGAGCACCCAACAGCTACTAAGACACCTCTGCCATGGGATCAATTTTGGATTATACTGCTCTTGGAGATACCAGATTTTCTTTCCTCTCAGACCCTTGCCCCGTTTATTCCCCAAGTGAGTATATTTCCCTTTGTTGGACTTAGATCTGACCACAACTGGACCTTTGTCAAGCTCATCAGAGACATTGGAGTGACTCAAGGAGACGAATCCCAGGTTGGTTACTATGTCGGCGTCCTTGTAAGTGTCTTCATTGTTCCTACCCCTTGATTCGTTCCTGATATTCTCTCGAGCAATCATCATACTATGCAGCTCATCTGCTGACTATTTTCCATTGGAGTCGACTATCCGACCACATCGGGCGGAAGCCTTTAATGCTGACAGCTCTATTAGCAATCATTGTTTCGATGTTTTCGTTTGGGTTGTCGAAGACTTTCCTTGGTCTGCTGGTCAGGTCAGCGTGTTCAGTCAAAAAGTAGTTGTGACTATCAATACTGATATTCTTGACCAGTCGTGTTGTCTGCGGAGCATTTGATTCAAGCGATAGTGTCCTCGAGACCTTGGTGATGGACACCACTGACGTGACCAATATGCCCGAGGCATACGGTTATATACCAATTCCATGGATGATCGGAAACACAGTTGGGTAGGCATACAGTATATTTTCTCTCGCACCGAGGTTCACGGCATCTACTAGACCGCTCATTGGAGGATCGCTCTCCCGACCAGCAGACAGATTCCCCAACATCTTTGGGCGATCAGAACTCCTGAAAACTTATCCATATCTCTTGCCATGCTCTATTTCAGCATTTTTTATATCGATAGCTTGGCTAATCACGTATTTTCGTCTCAAAGAGGTGAGCGTGATATTGAAAACTCATCTCTGGATCGCACTAAGTATGGTTGTCAGAGCGTTTCTACCAGGACACCGCTTTGGGAGCTAATTAAAGGAAGATTCTTCGGACAGTCTTACCAAAAGCTTCGCCAGCCATCAAGTAATGTTGATCCTGGAGAAGCCCAATCAAAGCCGCTTCCGCTGCATGCCTTGCTAACCTCGAAAGTGTTGAGGATAACGACGAGTAATGTTACCACAAGCCTGCTTCACATAGCGTTTACTTCGGTCCAACCTGTTTTCTATGCGACACCGATTGAACTTGGTGGTCTTTCCCTTGATCCTCCTCACATAGGCGCTTTGCTTGCGGCACAAGGTGTCGCACATGGCATATTTCAGCTACTTTTCAACGCTCGTTTACATGATCGCTTCGGTGCAGGAGCTATCCACATCACCGGCGTTAGCTCTGGCATACCCATCATCATTTTATTTCCAGTCATCAATGCTCTGGCTCGAGCCTATGGAGTAGGTATGGCGGTATGGCTGTGTGTTGCTGTCCAGCTTGCGCTGACTACTAGCCTGGTCATGTGCTACCGTATGTCAATCCAGCACTTCCTGCGTTCTGCTAAACTAAGAAGAACTCATAGCCTGCATGTCATTATTCATCAGAGCAGCTGCTCCCAATCGAGCCTCGTTCGGAGCAACCAATGGAATTGTCCTGGCAGCCGTCACAGTAGCAAGTATCATCGGTCCGGCGTCTGCAGCTTCGGTCTTCTCTTATTCATTGCAGGAAGGGCATGATGCATGGTCGATATACTACTTCTTGATGGCAATTGCATTTCTCGCAGTAGGTGCTGCTCTATTACTTCCCCGTGATCCTAGTGTATGGGAAGATTCCAATGATATTATCGCGAATGACCGCGTGCTATGACAGTATAGGGGGGAAGAACCAGCAAACTCGAATCTCCTGGTGTTCGCGATGAGTTTGAACAATGGTTTAAAGCATTTGACCTTGTTCAGATGTGTTCTATGTGGTGCGTTTTCGTTCCCAGTTCCACTCTGAGAGTGTCTTGTTGTCTGGCATGGGCCGGGCATGTGAAGAGGAAATGATGTAGCAATTCGCCTCCTTGGTTGCATTAGGGTGCGAATGGATCTATGGTGTGCGGGATAGCATAATGTGGGGATTTGCGCATGATCTTTGACGCTTCCTGTTTAATTTCCGCTCAGAAGTTCTGGAGTGTCAATCATTATAATATGTTGTCCCATATGTAAGAGAAATGAAAACTGGCAGGCACCGAGATGACCGAACAGTGTGAACGTTCACATTCAAACTTGAGCAGATGGGAGGCTGGGCGGGTTGCATTGAGTATCGAAAGAACAAGCATAAGCAGTCTGGTCCGGATGTGAGAACTTCTACTGATTGTAGTTTTTCAAGGGCTGGGCAAGTGACTGTCACGGTAAAATTGTAGTTCATGCCAGAACAACTGACACCCTTTGATACACCCGGGGTATTTTACCACAACGTGTCAGTGTTTCCACTCATTGGCACCCTCAAGTCGATCGTCACAGCATCGAAGCTTGCTGGCGCCTCAAGGACGACTGAACTTTCACGGGTATGTGCATAGTATGAGCGTTGCTCTAATAGCATCTACAATGAGCACCCCTCGCTGCCCCACAGCAGTTGACAGCGATGACACAGGCCTGATGCATGCTAAACGGCAGGATTCAATTTACCTTCTCTTCGGTCAACTGCGGTCAGCAGAATTTTCGGTCGATCAGGACTCTTCTTTCTTAGCGGTCTTGCCAAAGCGGTCATTAATCAGTCAGGCTAGTCGTGCGCGCTTCATGCATATTATAATGCCTGACCGTCGTCTATGTTTCCTTCGGCGCCTGGATTTCCCGGTCCCGGTCCTGGTGACTCATCACCTCTCACCACGTCAAAGACGGTTCGAGAGCTCTCCCCTGAATGGGTGGTGATGAAATTATATAGTCGTGCGTTCCATTCTACCGCACGAGAAATTTCGCACCTTCGTGTTCTAACGCCAGGATACCCTTGCCTCATTGTCACTGGTTGACATAACGGATCTAACGAACCCAAGAGCAACCTTCTCTGGTATTCTGGTGTATAATTTTGGAACTCTGACGTTGCGGGGGATATTTATGGGAACGAGTCAAGAGACCGAGTCAAAAAGACTGCAACACAAGTGTTGCTAATCATTTTCAGAGGCGCTGGAGAAGTCACAGTTGCTATGGCATCAATGCGCCATCCACGTATCAGCTCGAGTACTTCTTCAGGCTGTGGTGGAGTTCCATGTTCACATTCGGTATGAAATTACCCATGGGGCGCAAAGAGGCTGTATGTCTGATTCTGATTCCATGTACTCATAATATGCGGATTCAGGTGAGCCGCAAAGGAACAAGCATATTGGAAAGGCGCGAGTGAGACCGCAACACAGGAATGCGAATCGCTGAAGAAAGGAACAAAGTTCAGATAACTCACCTTCAAGATTCTGTGCGGGAACTTCGATACCTAGCTTTAGATATCGTCGACCACAAGAGTGCCACATCTGAATATTATGAGAAAAGTATGAAGTATAAGTATATCTCGATCACCATAATCAGAGACTACAAGTGTGGTACCATACTAGTCCATGACGCCGCCTTGTATGCGTCAGGAGGAAGATTGTGTAAAGTGGTGAACATAAGTACCAAGAGGACGGCACGAGCTGGGACATACAATGCGAAACATGCGAAATAAATCAGAAAATACACACCCCACACGACATACTTTAATGGATTTGGAAAATGCTGAAGCACTGAATGGGTCACTTCCGAGTCAGAGTAGAGACTCCAACAAAGCCAGGGTGTGCAAGTTGTGGCGACGGCACTGATACGCCATAGCATCTGTTCCTGGTGTGTGGGAAAGGCAAAGAACCAAGCCATACAATGGACGCCACCGAATATGGTAGCCATAAGCATTGCAGCAAGCCGAAGAACTTTTCTGTTCGAACCATCGAGAGTGATGCTGCCATCAAATGTTGGAACTTGGAGCTTTTGAGATGTAGGAATGCGAGGAAAGCCCATCAGTTCAAAAATTGAGCGGGCGATGGGAAGCGGAGCGAATTCGTCTGTGTCACTGGTACTAAGGCAGACATAATCAGCAGCGTTATAATTGTTCAGGCACATACATACTCAATGTGGTCCTCTGGCATTGACTCGGTCGACTTCCAGTACACTGGATGTGAACATCGCACATCGAGAGGCTTGTCCCACCACATAGCATAAGTTAGGAAACTGAGGACCGCAAAAGCGAGTGTCCCCACTTCGAGCTGAGTGGTTTCGAGGTGATATATGGCGCGAGTGATGAGCTGTAGAACAAACCAGGCCACCTGAAGCACGACCAATGCTTTCGATATCGCATTGCCTTTGCTCCTGTCGCGGATCTGCTTTGCGGTCAGGGTAGGAACATCGATACACTTGTCTTGTATCAGTTTGAGAATGTAGTCAGGACGTAGTGTAAGGTAGGGTTTCCCGTCTACATAAAGCATGAAACCACCCATGAGCACAAAGAAGCTGTGCGTCTGGGTCCAGGTATAATCTAAATATGTATGAATCAACGTTTATGTGAGCAAGAATCTGGCTTACCTTCCAAGTCAGACTCGGATGGCTCTGGCTCAATCCAGTTTGCGAAACACCTCATGGGAGCACAAAGAAAACGCCAAAGAAACACCAGCACAGATAAAGGACCTTTGGCAAGCAGTATCAAGAGGCGAACGAAAGGCAAGCGGAGAAGGAAGCGAGTGAAGCAATTTCCAGTTGCAGGTACATCTATTTCTAAGGACGTGTATAGTGAGTTGTGAGATGCAGAATTTCCGAAAGTACAACTCACCTTCAGAGTTCGGACGAATGATCAAGTTGGGATATCCTGATTTCTCGAATCGTCTTGTAACTTGATGAGCGCTGAACCACTGACGCATAGCCCATGCGACAATCAGTTCAGGAGCAATTAGTGCCATTATCGTCATGCTAAGTTGTCGCCATAGGATATACCGGTGGCCGCTTTCCTTAGGATTCGGGATATTGGGGTGGATGGCACTGTATATGCATGCAAAAAGAGTGAGAACGGAGCTGAAGATGATTGTCCATAGGGTTCTGGTCGTGAATGATGGGGCTTCAACATTGTCGCTAGTAGTGATATTTGTTGCTATTATTGTAGGTGCGGCTTGGATCACTCCAACGAGGTAGAGGATGATGCAGAAAAATACTAGTAAGAGCATTATTGGATGGGCGTCTTGTATGCATCCTGTTCACTGTTTTATTTTATTAGCAAGCGTTATCTCAACATTTGCTAGCACGATGTACAGTGAAGACTAGTACGGACAGGGATGCTGTAGAGTTAATTACCTTATTTTGCACTATGTGTGCGCCCAGCCAGCTGCAGATTGTTGACAGATTGGCAGGTCATAAACGTAAGGATTTCGTGGGCGATACATGTACAGGACGCCGCACGGCACCGGTGTTGTGGCTATCCGGAAGACGCGTCATTGAGAGATTGATTACCGGTAAGCTTATGGTGTTGCACAAGGAAAGAGAAACGAGAATAGGCGGGCGACGCGCAAAGATTCAGAAATTTAAAGAGGCTAAGCAGACATGACGAGCTCCTGGCGTGCCCACGTATATGCACCCCGGTGTATCAGCTCATAAAACCAAAACGCTAAATGTGCACTCCCCACCTTGATAGCACTTGAGTTTGATCGAGACGCGGCGGCGCATGTAATGTATTTTGGTTTGTTTACACCAACGTGGTAAGCAAGCATAAGCGCGCCGCAAGCTTCCAGGTATGAGTTCCCCCATTACGGCCTTGGCAATTGCCAACAAGCCACGCACCTTTCTTTCCAGAAACACAATTTCCTTGGGTAGCGCTGGGTAATAATAGAGGCGTACACTGCACATCGGGTCCGAGTCGCCACTCCAAAGGTAACCGTCTCCTCGTCGATTGGGAATGTTGTTACCTGTTCGTCAGTCGTCCGTTTCATCAGCTACAGCGTACAAAACAACCCTATTTCGCTGCCGTCCATGGTGATGAGTAAATTCAAGTAAGACTTGGGCAAACCAGATCGAATTGGACAGAGTCATTGAAGAGGATGAGGAGGGCTGAATTTTCATGCTGAGTTTTGTAGTTCTGTTTCCTGGACGACTTTTTAACCCAGTCCAGAATGTGCACAACATTTGCGCTCCTGGGCAGACCCAGGGCGGGATTCAGACAGAATTCATTTGGGCCTCGGCCCTCCGGCAACGTTCGCCGCGCCCAACCTGAGTTCCAAAGCCATTATTGGGGGTCCTTAGATATCTCGCCAGCTCATTTAACAAATGTCGTACCAGCAAAGTCAGGCTTAAACGGAGTACCTCGCTGGCTCCTCGCAATTGCATTTGCCAGCTCAAGCCTGAGTCACCCCAATCTCAAATATGGCTTGCGCTTGGACTAGTCTGGGCAAGCTTACCCTCAAATTGTCTGTTGCCTACGCGAGCACGTTTAATTATTTTCAAAGTGTGGTCTTGGTAGAAAAGCAATGCCTTGTCCCATTCCTCCTTGTCACTGTCACGGTTGCTTCCAAGCTGTTTCCTTTCTGTGTCGTAAGCGCGACGTCCAAGTAAGTCATAACATCCCTTTTTGCAGTCGCTATATATTTCATCCCACATCCTCACCTCGATCTTTATCAAGGTCATATCTATCTGACACGTTGCTAATCAACGCGCATTTCATCCATTAAATGGAGCAGCGTTTACTTTTGGACAGCGCGATCACGGAGAAATTTCTGCGAATAGCATGCATGTCTATCGAATGTTACAAGTCAGTCTTTTATTTCTTCCTTACGGACTCTTAGTCGTCGAAATATACTGGTTATATCACTCTCCCCGTAGAATGGCGCTTTGACCGAAGCAAATCATCACTCTTTTAATGGAGGTGTGTGTACGAAGCCATTTGGAACCAAAAGCTGCCATCCTCGATTTAGTATGTCAGTGTTTCGATCTCATACAAACACCGTCCTTTTTTGCATAGGCAAAGTGAGTGATTCCTTTACCACCAGTGTGGGCTGTCCAGATCTCCATGAACCATAGCTGCATCTCGGTAAATTCATTGTCAACCTGGTTCTATGACGGCATTGAATATTTCCTCGTGTTGTCCGGCAAGTATGTTCTGCTTGTGATGAGCACCCTTCTGACATTTCCTCAGTGTCTAACGTATTGCACCTCACCCTCTATCGTATGACCGATATCGAGACTCAAGTACACATGCTGAATGATGGATATGCTATAGAAACTCAGCTCTATTATATCCACTCGCTTCCATTATTAGTCGATAGGGTAAGTTTTGCATCGTCTGGCGCTAAGGAGATCAGATGCATCATGATCAGGACATCAATAGGTCATACTGTAACCTGGATCGTGAGCCAACGGATTCTCATTCATAGGTTCTAGAAGCTCCAGAAGCCCCATAAATACGGAGTTCAGGCCCACATCGCTTCGTGATCCCAACGACATGAAACTCGATAGACGCGTACCTGTCAACTTCAAGCGCCGGTAGCAGTAGTCTACATGGACGAGTCTAGGCATTCAGGTACATGGCAAGCGAGTTCAAAGCGAGCTAGGAAGTTTCACCGATCGACTTCGAATTGTAGGGAACAGGCCCAATGCCTGGAGGCTGAGTTCGATGGCCGGTCGCAATGTTAGAGGAAATACGATTTCCGTATGTCTGGATAATAGAGATAGACGCTACACGTCGGGTCACGTTCAAAAGTAACTGTCAACTCGTCGATTGGGAATGTTGCAACCTGCTCACCAGTCGTCCCCTTCATCAACTGCAGCATACTGTACCAAACAGCTTCATCGCTGCCATCCGTTAGGGTCATACCAGACGATGTGATTGCATCGTACACCTAGTTCTATTGTTGTCGTCGACCACAAGAATGTTAGCATCTAAATATCATGAAAAAGTATGAAGTGCATGTATCTCGAGCACCGCAATCAAGAACTACAAGTGTGGCACCAAACTGGTCCACAGCACCGACTTGTATGCGTCAGGAGGAAGATTACGCAAAGTGGTGAACATAAGTACCAAGAGGACGGCACGGGTTGTGATGTACAACACGACGAATGTACAACAAATCAGACCATATACACCCCACATGATGCGACGTGATGAATCGGAAAAGCGCCGTACTAAAGAGTCTAAGTAGAGACTCAAACAAATCCAGGGTGTGCAAGTGATAGCGATAGCACTTATTTTCCATAGCACCTGTTCCTGGTGTGTGGGGAAGGTAAAGAACCAAGCCATACAATGGATGCCGCCAAATATGGTTGCCATAAGCACGGCAGCGAGCCGAAGAACCTTCTTGTTTGAATCTTCAATAGTGATGCTGCCATCAAATGTTGGAACTCGAAGCTTTCGAGACGTGGGGATGTCAACCCAGCCTATCAGTTCTAGAACGGGGCGGAAGGATCGAGGCAAGAGTCGAAGGTGAGCAAATTCATCTCTTTCACTGAAACTAAGGCAAACATAATCAGCAGCGGTATAATCGTTGAGGTGCGTACATACTCAATGTGATCCTCTGGCCTTGACTCAGCTGACTTCCAGTACACTGGATGTGGACATCGCACATTGAGAGGCTTGTCCCACCACATAGCATAAGTTAGGAAACTGAGGACCGCAAAAGCGAGTGTCCCCACTTCGAGCTGAGTGGTTTTGAGGTGATAGACGGCGCGGGTGATGAGTTGCATAACAAACCAGGCCACCTGAAGCATGACCAATCCTTTCGATATCGCATTGCCTTTGCTCTTGTCATGGATCTGGTTTGCTGTTATAGTAGGGACGTCGATACACTCGTCACGTATCAGTTTGAGAATGTATTCAGGACGTAGTGTAAGGTAGGGTTCTCCGTCCACATAAAGCATGAAACCACCCATGAGCGCAAAGAAGCTATGCGTCTGGGTCCATGTATAATCTAAGGATACGCATGAGTCAACGTTTAGTGACCAGGTGAGCACGAATGGGGCTTACCTTCCGAGTCGGACTCGAATTGCTTTAATTCAATCCAGCTTGTGACCCACCTCAAGGGAGCACAAAGGAAATACCAGAGAGACAACAGCACAGATAATAAAGCTTGAACACACAGGATCAAGAGGCGAACGAAAGGCAAGCGGAGAAGGAAGCGAGTGAGGCGATTTCCAGTTGCAGGTCCTTCAACAAAATCCATTTCTGAAGACATGTATAGTGAGTTGTGAGATGCAGAGTTTCCAAAAGCACAACTCACCTTCAGACTTCGGATGAACATTGGGATACCCTGATTCCTTGAACTGTCTTGTAACTTGATGAGCGCTAAACAACTGGCGCATAGCCCATGTGACAATCATTTCAGGAGCGATGAGTGCCATTATCATCATGCCAAGTTGTCGCCGTATGATAAGAAAGGGACTGATGTCCTTCGGACTCGGGATATTAGGGTGGATGGCACTGTATATACATGCAAAAAGAGTGAGAACAGAGCTGGAGATGATGGTCCATAAGGTTCTGGTCGTGAATGATGGGGCTTTAAAACTGTCGCTAGTGGTAGTATTTGTTGTATTTGTTGTATTTGTTGTAGGTGCAGCTTGGATCCCTCCAACGATGTAGAGGAAGATGCAGAAAAATACTAGTTTGAAGCGCATCGTGGGATAGGTGCATCGTATGCATCCTGTTCACTATTTGTATCTTACTAGTGGGTGTCATCTCAAAGCAGCGCAGTGTACAATGAGGCCTTGTATAGGACTTGTTTGATGTTTGCAGCATGACAGTGACAGCTGGGCCTGAGTCGGTGTCCTGAAGCCTGATGCCCAGTGAAAACTGGTACGGATAGGCTCAGAGATGCTGTAGCATGAATTACTTCATTTGAGGTGTGTTATACGTGCGCCCTGAAATGATTGGCAGAATGACAGGCCATGAACATAAGAATTTCATGGGCGGATACAGGACGACAGGTGTTGTGGCTATCCGCAAGACGCGTGAAGAGATTGATCACCAGTTGGCAGTAAGCTTATGGTGTTGTACAAGTAAAGAGAAACGAAGATAGGCGGACGACGCGCAAGGAATATGCTAAGCAGACATGACGAGCTTATGTGTACCCTGTATCAGCTCATAAAAAATCACATCAATCCAGAACGCCAAATGTGCACCCACCATCTTCTCCTTCTCGCTTACTCATGTCTTCTAAAGTCTTTACTCCATCCACAGCGGCGTGGTTCACCAGAGACAATGAGGATTGAATATTGAATATTGAAAGCCTGCCAAGGCAAATGGTGTCCGAGTAAAAGTTAGCTTGATCGTAAGGTATTTTGGTTTGTTTACACCGATACTGCATATATGTAGCGTCCCTTGGTGACTGACATGGACACTAGGTATATGCATTGCATAAACTGTAAGCGCTTAAGCGCGCAAGCTATCGGGTGTGAGCTGCCCTATTGTAGGCAAGTTGCTTTTGTTCCTTACAATTGGATATGTATCGCCCCGGATCGCAGATTAATTTTTTTTTTGCTCCGGTGTAGCGTTCTGCAAATGACTAGGTGACCGCAAGCGCGCAATTGAGCTGCCAGGTGTGAGCTCCCTTATTATGGGCAAATTACAAATAAGCCACGAACACAATTTCCTTGTGTTGCAAGGCTGGGTAATCACAGTAGAGGTGCGGCACACTGCACGTCGGGTCGCGTCCAAAGGTAAGTATCTCCTCGTCGATTGGGAATGCTGATAACTGTTCATCAGTCCTTCGTTTCATCAGACATGCCACAGTGTATAAAACAGCCCTAATCTTCACCGCCATCCACAGCCCAAATTGATCAGCAAGTTCAAGCAAACCTTGAGTAAACAAGACCGAATTGGACAGTTATAGAAGGGGGTTGAATTTTCAGATTTCCAGCTGAGCTGCGCTGTGGATTTCTAGCTAAATACTCTAACAAAAGATGCCTCTACAAAAGGTCTTTATTTGTTAGAATTTGGACAAAATTTGCGCCCCTGGGGCAGACCCAGGACGGGATCCGGACAGAACCCGTTTGAGCCTCCGGCAACGTTCGCCAACTTGGGTTCCAGAGCCATTATCATCCATCCTTAAGTACCTCCGAGTCGCCAGCTCATTGAACAGATGCCATATCAGCAAAATTAGGCTTAAACGGAGTACCTCGCTGGCCCCTCGCAATTGCATTTGCCAGCTCAAGCCAGCTCAATCTCAAATATGGCTTGTGCTTGGACGAGTCTGGACAAACTTACCCTCAAATTTTCTGTTGCCTACGTGAGCACTTTCAATTGTTCTCAAAGTGCGGTCTTGGTAAAAGAAGAGATACCTTGTTTCATTCCTCCTTCTCATTATCACGGTTGCTTCCAAGTTGTTTCCTTTCTGTGTCGAAAGCGCGACGTCCAGGTGAGTCATAGATCCCTATCTGCAGCCGCTAGCATTTTTTACTTCATCCCTCACCTCTATCTCTATCAAGGACATATTTATCTGACACGTTGCCAATAAACGTGCATTTTATCCATTGAATGGAGCAGCATTTGCTTATGGAAAGCGTGATCATGGAGAAATGTCTGCGAATAGCATGCATGTCTATCGGGTGTTATGAGCAAGTCTTTTATCTCTTCGTCATTGCCTCGTAGTCGTCGCAATATGCTGATGATGTTCAGTTATATTCTTACACTCCCCGCAGAATGGCGTTTTTACCGAAGCGAATCGTCATTTTTTCATTTAAGGTATGTGTACGAAACCATTCACATACCACCGTTTACAAGCCCAATCACATCAGTCTTGCCTGCATTTTATTTATTCTCATACGGTACTTTGTGTCCACATCCTGTCATGCGATTTCTTTGCTCACATTTGATGCAGCTATGTTAGTATTGTGACTATAGTAGTCAGCAATTACGGGTTCTTCTCCACTACCTTTACCCAACAAACCTGCCAAAAATACTATCTTGTTGCGCCTATCTTCAAAGGTGTGTCGTATTGGTATTCGGGCACCAGGACTCTAGTGACCATGTTGTAGCAGTACAAACTATGATATCACAGGTAATTCTAGGTGTGAGGTGTGTCCCATCGAATTGTTCGTGGGTTGCAGCTGCAGATTTAAAATACCGCGTAGAACATTCAATATTGCAAGAAGAGATAGGCGGATAGGAATTGCATTATTGCTACTATACATCTTGTCAATTTCGGTGAGCTCTTTACTACACAGACATGAAACCCTGTCTCACATTCACTTTAGGCGGAGTGGTTCGTAGATCTATTTCACGGGACCCGTAAGCTCTGGTTAATATTTTGATTTTGATTTCGCTATTGACCTTTAGACCAAAAGCTGCCGTGCTTGATTTAGTATGTCAGTGTTTCTTACAACGAGATCTCATACAAACAACGTCCCTTTTTTGTACAGGGAAAGTGAGTGATTCCTTTACCACAAGTATTCTGTTCATATCTCCATGAACCATAGCTGTACTTCAGTAAATTCTGCCAGAGTATTGTCAACCTGGTTCTACTACTTCCCTGTGATGTTGTATGACATCGTGATGGTGACGGTATCTACCATGCATCTTCTGCGTTATAATCCTCTCAGTAACAGGTGCGCCTTTTCTTTCACGTCTTTAGGGTCGCTAAAGCATTGCTGTTAGAGTTGAACGGCTGATACGGGTGTAAGTACCTTGCGATTGACAGAACCGATGCGCGTCGCTCATCATAATTAGCCTGATTTATGACGGCATTGGATATTTTCTCGTGTTGTCCGGCAAGTGTGCTTTGCTTGTGACGAGTGCCCTATTAACACTCCTTCAGTGTCGAACGTATTGAACCTCATATTTTATCATACGACCAATATCGAGACCCAGGTACGTAGGCTGAATTATGGATACGCCAAAACTTAGCTCTATTGTATCCACTCGCTTCCATTATTAGTCGGCAGGGTAAGTTTCTCATCCTCTGGCGCCAAGGAGATCAGACTGCTCAGAATGCATCATCAGGGCATCAATAGGTTATACTGTGACCTGGATCATGAGCCAACGGATTCTCATTAATATACGGGGTGCGCAATGTTCTAGAGCTTGACTGCTATCCCGCTTACGCACACTCGCAGAAATGACACAGCCAAATGCCCAACACATAGAGAAAGTGATCATCGCGGGTCCGAGCACGCTCAATATGCAGAAAAGCGTGATGTCCGGTCTCCGCTCACAGTTCGAGTCTAAGAGTTACTCCCGAGGCTCTAGAAGCTTTAGAAGCCCCATAAATACAGAGTTCAGGCCCACATCGCCTCGTGATCCCAACGATATGGAACTCAATATACGCGTACCCGTCGAGCGCCCGGTGGCAGTAGACGAGTCTAGGAATTCGAGCTCGTGGGGGCCACCAGTGGTGGAATGAGTTTGGGGCACTGGCGCTTGGCAAAGCATCACAAAGATCAGATTGCAAAGTATCTACTACGGATGTGACTATTACCCAACATACAATATTTACATAAAGAACCAGGCTTAGCGTAGGGAGAACCAAGACAGATACATAGTCTCGCCGAAACTGCGAACGAATACGAATTGTTGTTGGCAGACGTGTATATCAAACTGCTGATATATATCATTTCAAGTTGACCAGCTCTTCGAAACATTTACAGCATGATCATAGCGAGTTCACAGCTGAATGTGACACCGTGACAATGTCGGCGTACGCGTGACTAAAGGTCGTTTGAGTTTGTAGAGTCTAGACGACTCGCTAAGACAACAGGCAAGGAGGCCGCCACTACCCAATGGCCCCGACGAAAACCAGCAAGGTCTCTTCGACTTCAAAATCTTCAATTCAAAAACACTCAGCGTCTGGTGTCGGAGCACCCTCCCAACTTGCTCAATCGAGCCGTAAAGGCAAGAAGGCATGGCGAAAAAACATCGACATACAGCCTGTGGAACAAGGTCTAGAGAGTCTGCGTTCAGAGGAGCGAGTCATCGGGTGTGGAAAATTTGTGTCTTGCATATGTCTACCATCTAATCGCATGTATCGACTCGTGACAGCTCCACGCTACAAAAACAGACAGACAATCAATTGTTTGTTGTGGACACCAAAGGAGACGATAAAGGTAAGTTTTTTCAAGATATATCTAGGTAAAAATATAAAAGTGTTCAGTCCGCAAGTCGTTACCGCGGTACTCTAAGGCCGAGTTGACTTCCACGAAAATACTTTCCCAACGATCTGCCATTCCTGCCGTGTTTTCTCGTCCGACAAAAGACTCTATACCATCACGATCAAAAGTCAGTAGGGCTGACAAGGAGCGCCTTCTTCGCATTGCAAAGCGGCCTAGAAAGGGTCCATTCAATGCGGTTATGGACCACACAGAGTTTGGTGCAGGGAGTGCTGTAATCGATGTCAGCGCTGCTGTGAAACATAGCGGTTCTTATGACCCATGGGCAGCCGAGGAGGTGGAAGAAATGGCTGATGGATTAGAACATACAACAAAACCCAAGATCAAGGCAAGACTTTTCTTCCTTGCTACCAGCAATTTGCTGATGATAGTCATAGCGCCCGGAGTTATCTCATCCTCGCGATGTCATAGAAATTCCTGCTGTGTTGGAGCCACATCAAGGATCATCATACAATCCTCCTACTGCGGCACACAATGAGCTTATCATGGAGGCATGCAAGGTAGAGCGACGTAGACAAGATGAAGCGGATCGATTAGCAGAAGTCCGACGCAAGGTCGCTGATGCACGCGCAATTGCTACCAATGTCACGGAAGGCCTTCCGCTTGGAATGACTTTAGATGAGATACCCGCAGACGACGGCGAACCAGTCGCACAGCACGATGCGGTTGTACCCAAGAAGCCATCGGCACGTAAAACTAAGCAGCAACGAGCCAAGGCGGTGCGATTGCGCGAGGAGGTAAGCCTTTCGTCGCTTTTTTTACCATCGCCGCTGAGCTTGCACTAGAAACAAGCACTGGCAGAAAAGGCAGCAAGAAAAAAAATGCTTGCCACGATCACAATGGCTAAATCTTTCCGTTCAACTGCGGAGAAAGTTAGCCAACAACAAAATCAAGCACGATTGGCAAGGCAGCTGGCACTGAAGATGAAGCTCAGAAAGGGCTTAGCTGGTCAACGACTAGGGAAATATAAAGTTCCTGAAAATGAAATCGAGGTTCAGATTGGAGAGGATCTGAGTGAAAACCTACGAACGCTGAAGGTGTGTCGACTGCACCAGTTTTATCGACATCGCTGATAGCCTCCTGTCAGCCCGAGGGCAACTTATTCCGTGATCGCTTCCGTAGCATGCAGCAAAGAGCCCTCATTGAGCCTCGCGTACCCGTCCTGTGAGTATTCGTGATGTGTTTCAGCGCAGTTTTTGACGTCCTTTGCCCTGTAGCCCAACTAGGCGAGCGAAGCTGAAAGAGTTTGAGAAGCACGCCTGGAAAAGATTTGAGTAGCTAGTATTACTCTTTCCTATGTTACCAAACTTTGAGCTTCAAGTCTCACGGGACTCACCTGTGTCCAGCACATATTGTACATCAGCTGCATCTCATGATACGGCACCCGTAACTTTTTCAGTAAGTTTGGCGAGATTCTGAAGTTCTGTGACAGGGCTCATTTCCCCTAGCTACCGGCGGCTCTTCCCACTAGACGTGCATGTTTCTACGATGTGGCAAGTGATTCAGCACCGATCACAACAATCCATTGGTTCAACGCATCGGTCACATCAAATTTAGTGGCCAGCGCGTGTCACGACTCGCAGAGATGGATGGGTGCGTATGGAGTTCCTGGCTTCAGCAAAAAGACGCATGGATGTTTGTCTCTGAGCACCTCCGAGTCCTTCTCCATTGATGACAACACTTGGACTGCTGAATCTTTGAAATATCGAAACGCCACATTAATTAGCATAAGAATGTCGGTGTTGCACGTAAACTTGGCTGGTTAAATAGTGCGTCATGGCTTCACGATCGTCGATCAAGCTAGGTACCAAAAAAATGGACACTGTGGGAGTTGAACCCACGACCTTACGCATTCCCGATTTGCGAAGCGTACGCGCTACCAACTGTGCCAAGGGCCCGCGTGTGTTGAATAACACATGCATACGTCACTGGCTGAATTATTTCACCATAACAGAACGTGCAATTGGGACTCGAGCACTTCGTTTCATATCCAAGTGTCTACGGATGGAAATTGATTATATTGAGAACGAAGTCTCCATACTGCAACCTCCCGCAGCACAGAGAAGACGAATCCGACCAGTGGACGATGCTCATCCTTTCGATCTAGATGCATACATCTCGGGATATTCTGGTATGATATCAAACACCCCTCTTGATGCACTAGCTTAGATCGAGGTTTCCGACTCTCTAAGGTCGTACTGCGCTTGACAGGCTTGTGCACATTATCTCAACATGTCCGACCCTGGCACCACAGGCATTGAAGCTGGCGTTCGCGCAGATCGAGGAGCTTCGCGATCCAACCCTTTATCAGACCGTGATGAATGCATATGATGCTGTGGCGGACCTTCCAGAGGTGCAGCTCCCTCCGACTAGCGAGCTGTATCCAGTAAACACGGTGTGGTGCGAAGAGGTTACGAAGAAGAATCAAGCGGAGAGAACGAAGCTAGAGGTCGAGTTGAAGACGTATTCTAACAACATGATTAAAGAGAGCATAAGGGTACGACTAGCATCTTAGTTTCTTCAGAGACTCTGAACATCATCTTTTCGTCAGATGGGCCACAGAGATCTCGGTGACTTCTACCGTGCCACTGGAGACTATACTCAAGCACTCAAACATTATACGAAATCAAGGGAGTTCTGCTCAACCAGCCAGCACGTTCTTGACATGTGTCTTTCTGTGCTAGAGGTAGATTTTAGTTCATTGATATTACTGTCGGGTCATTCATTCCTCCTATAGCTTGTGATTGAACAACGTAATTACTCACACATATCTTCCTACGTTTTCAAGGCGGAGGGTGCACTTGATACGGCAAACGCAGCAGCAGCATCCAACTCAACTGCGGGTTCCGCTGCCCCTCCACCTAAAAGGTCAGCGGAGCGTGACCAGGTACAATCCAAGTTGGATTTCGCGATGGCTTTGTTCCATTTAGGACAAGCTAACTACGAAAAAGCCGCTCAACTTTTTCTGAAGATCGGTCCTCCAGATTCTCTTGGCGATTGGATTGGCAAGGTAGGCGATATTCTCTATCCAGCCAGACTTTGCTTATGCTCTTTTAGCTTGTCGCTCCTGGTGACTTTGCGGTGTATGGAACTCTATGCGCTCTTGCCAGCATGTCGCGATCTGCAATCAAGTCTCAACTTACAGGAAACGCTATTTTCTCTGCATACATTGAGCAAGAACCATATGTTCGAGACTTAACCCAGTCATATCTCTCAAGCGATTTCAAAAACGTCCTGGAGCTTCTTGAACGGTACTCGGTATGCTTTGTATATATATCAAAATCTATAACTCTGAGCTGTCTTTCTTGCACCAGACGCGTCATTACGTGGACATTCATATATACTCACATGTATATGATCTGACGAACCTCATTCGTAATGTCGCGGTCGTGCTTTACTTCCAGCCATTCCAGACCATTCGCCTCGACAGAATGAGCGCGGCATTCGGCTGGACCGTCGACGAGGTTGAGAAGGAGGTAGTTGCGCTCATTCAAAGCGGCCAGATTCAAGGCCGAGTTGACAGTCAGAACAAGGCCAGTGAGACTTGTTGGCATAACTATGGCGAGGATATCGCTGACACTATTAACAATACAGATCCTGAAAGCGAGGAAAGTAGATCATAGGGCCGAATTGTTCGCGCGTGCCATAAAGACCGCTGCTGAGATACAAAGCACCAACCGCAAGCTACTGTTGCGGATGCGTTTGTGAGTGTATATGGAAGATGTGCAGCTCGCACTCTAATCTGAGTTTGCAGGCAACAGGCAGACTTGGTGGTGAAGCCGCCAAAGTCGCGCCGCGAACAAGATCGTGCGGCAGAACTTTTGCAAGTCGATTGACAGCTACAAGATGATGAGGCTATTGTACTGTATTTTTACTGCATGGCCAACGTTGTATCATGATGATTTCTGATGTTAGCAGCGAAGAGGTTCTGCGTAAGATTTGCCCTCCGTCGCCGGCATTCCACGGTTCGAAGACGATCTCGCTCGGTACTTTTCAAGACTGCTCTTTTCTGAGATATCGTGAGGCTGAAGTGCTTTGGAAAGCTGAGCATCATGATGCTAGAGAATAAGTATATGAAGTTGTCTGGTTTCCGACTAAGCGAAAGCCATCGAGGGGCAATTTCAGAAGAAAAGCGAACCGAATAAAGGAAATGGATTGAATAGCCTATTCTGCGACGGCTTGCCTCATGGACGGACTGGTCATCAGCCTGTCTACTAGTCGAGACTGTCGAGTGTGGCACAGTATCCATGCAATCCCCGTCATATTTAAAGGACGACATATGAATTGATGCCATTGATCGACCATTAATGATGGTGAAATGTCTATACCAGAACGTTTAGAAGACTCAGAAGAGAGCATACGTGAGGTGTATACACGGTGCGCACAGACCAACGGTCTGTCGATTCAATTTAAAAATTCGATTATGTAAACAATATTGCGAAGACTGTATTAGGTCATTCGCTGATCAGAGCCTAGGCGTAAATTTCTCGACAGTCACCTATAGCTAGTGTTTCATGACCGAGTAACTTGGAACGTTGTATTTGGTTATCATATCCAAAAGCAATACGCCTTAGGCCTTATCTTCGAATCGCATCTGTCTCACAGTACAATAATGAGTTAATTACGTAGTACTAGTACTTATGAGCAGCTAACTATATATAGGGTTACCTCGCCGACTCGGAGGCACTAGACCGCAACACCAACTATATAAAGTGGTCCCCTCAGCCCTGTTCTTCGCATTCATCCACCATCATGGACGAATCGTATGAACCACCAAGGCTGTTTCCAGTCAGTGCCAGTCAATCTATACAGCCCTTCAAGCAGAAGATAGACAAGGGGAAAGGAGTCGGTTAGTGGACTTTACATACAGGAAAGCTATCGTTCATAATCTGAATTCTGCACAGATCGTGGCGATAGCAGTTTTCGTTTTGCCCAGGGCTCATATTCCCGTGCATCTACACCATCGATCATGATCGACGAGATGGACGATGATGAGCCCTTGGCATCACAAGCACCCCCAGCGTTGAAAGGTGACGCGGCAGACTCTATCTGCATGTCCGAGGATTCGGACGACTTCTATCATTCAGTAAGATCAGGTGATGCAGAAGACTTCGTAGGTCCACTTCCTTTAGGCTTGCGGTCATCATGATGTGGGCCGGAGTTCTTACGTTCTCATTCAGATGGACGTAGAAGATTCCTCTCCGCATAATGATGCTCGTGACCTTGCCCAGTCGATTAATGGGATGTATCGGGTGCTGGATTTGATTAACGAAGAAGGGAGTGGCGGGCTAGGTATCTTCATCATCATTTTTCACAAGCCTTGCCTTCGTTGACTTTTAGTTTAGTGGACAAAGTTATCATAGCGCAAGATTCACTCCGTGCATTCATCAACAGTGTTTGCCCAGGCACATATGTGTCTATGACGAAAGTAAACTTCAACGCTCTAGACCGCTTCATCGTGAAGCCTATTGGCGTGTACGGAAGTAAGAGTGAAATTGTACGACTCCTGTCGTCCCTGGGTGTTGTCGATGAAGAAATGTGAGATCGGTGCCAGTAATCAGATCGACACCTTAATAAACTTTATCTTGTAGCGCGAAACAACTCATCACGAACCAAAGTGACTCCAACGTTTCAATGCCGAGTCTTCGTTCTGGGCTGTACATCGTCCGAGCAGTTTGCGAGGCTACACCTGACCAACAGCTTTTCCTCATCTACTGGCCGGAGGATTCGACATGGGATGACTCAGCTCCTTCGTCTGTGAGACGCAACCGCGTGACCTTTATGAGGTCCGTCAAGTCTTTCTTGGTTTAGGCCCTCGCTCCTAACAAAAACAGATACCTTACGAAAATGTGTGATCAAGTCACAGCACTCATTTCCCAAGAGCATGCTCAATCTATCGTATGGAATTCCCAGGAAGGCGAAGACATCGTCATGGATCTGGACGAAGACCACGATGAGTCCAGTAGGCTGTTCACTTTTGAAGTCGCGAAAACAAATGAGCAGGAGGAGGCAGTAAAGCCGCGCCCGGGATTCAAGGTTAGTCCAGTTTATCGATATGAGTGGTTGAGTGCTTAGAGCCACCTCTATAGGCTATATCCAAGCATATAGTCATGCCCCAGCCTCACCCAGAGGCACCGGTGGACGTCAAAGTGCTTAAGCCTGAGTTGTTGCATGGTGAAACGACTCAAGGGTTCATGACCGTCGCATTTCAACCGGGCAGGCTCAATGCCGAATCCATGAAAAATCAATCGTTAACTAGCATCCAGTTAAGCAATTACCTGTGGGTATTACACTAAGCAGCTCGACTTTGGCCGTCAATTGACGCTTCCATAGAAAGAATGATGCCTTACTGATCAGCAAGGGCCTGGATCCAGATGCCCTGAGTATTCTGCTATACAGTGGCATCCAGGATCGTTTCCGACAACAGAGTGAACAGTTTCGGCAGCAATCCGCGACTATCTTATCGAATACCAGGTCCAACAAGGAGTCAGAGACAATGAGGGTTACAAAGGACTTGAAGAGGGGGGAGCCTTCTCTGACTAAGGTCTTTCATCAGGCCTTAGTCGATGCTATCATCGAGAAATTTCCGTGCGTTTTTAGCTCGCACACTTTATCTACGTCTGATCGAGCTCTAGTATCTTCACTCACGAATCTTTCCCATGTCCTACAGAACGCGAGCAGGGCGGCATGTCGACTCTAGGTCCGTCCTCCGTGTAATCAATCTGTCTTGGAATAATACCGTTTACAGATTCAGGTGTGGCTGATATTCCAATTGGTACCGACTCTTCGTGAGTTATATACACAACAGGTCCTCGTGTATCACTAATATCTTTCAAGTACCCCCGCTGTCAATCCCTCTCCGGATCCCACCGGACAGGAACAGGAACGTCATTCAGTGCGAAGTATGTCATGTTTGCGATGCTCTACATCTTATTAATTAGTTGTGCAGATGACCTTAACACTCTCATTGCCTTATATCCAGACATAGGTGAAGAGCTTCGTCGCAAAGAGCATTCGGAGAAAATCAACGCGCGAAATTTCAAGGACTGCAAAGAACGGATCTGCATTGCGCGGAATGTCCTTGGTAACTCTGCTGACATGCCGAAGGAATCCCGTGAAAGTTTCATCAATATCATTCTCCGCGAGGACATGTCACACGTTAAGGAAACCTTGAAATCGATCAGCAAAGGAAACGTTCCGCATGAGAAGCCCAGAGGAATAGTGTCCACTGTCTGGAGTAAATTCACTTCGATCGTCTTACCTGACCTGGATTTGCATATCTTCGGTAAGACGTTAAAGGAGGCAGATGCTGATTCTATCAGCGACGCTCAGTTCCTCACGGAGTTGGATAATGCCGAAATACCCCCTATCTTGCGAAAAATCGTAGAAGACACTAAGGCAGCTGCTCTGGATCACTTTAGATCAAACTTGACGAAGCAGACCCGATTTTTAGTGCATTTTGCGCTGCGCATACAAACCGAACAATGCTCACTTCAGGTTCAGAGAGAAGCTGCCAGCCATGAAGAGGAGCAACTTACTGAGTTGCGGAGGTCGTTCATCCATGAAATCAACGATCTTTCGCAAACAGGATATCATGCGTTAGTGGTTCCGCACTTATTTTACTTCACCTTCATCTCAAGTCCATAGGTACACCTTCGTTATTGATTCCGTCGAGAAGACACGAAAATATTACTCATGTAAGTCCAGTTATTCTCATGTATACGAACTCTGACGAAATTATCGATAACAGCAGATATATTCATCTCTGGCCAAAGGGAATATTTCCAGGATCCTGTCTGTGAATTCTCCGTCCATCTCATGCAGCTGATGGAACACGACCAACATTCATTAAAAATGGACCCTACCATGATTCCCTCGCCGAAATTCATTGGCAGGCACGTGTACTCTTTCAAGTTACCTCTCGGAGATTCAGTCGCGTCAGTGTTTTTGACATTGTAGTACATAAATGAATTAACGCTGTTGACTTAGGAGAGCGCAACTTCTTTCAGGCGATAAGATCTTACTCGCAACGACTGATCGGCATGGGAACCTAATGGTGTTCCTGGAAAGCCTCCACGCGATCGAAGGCGCCTTGGCTCAGAGCCGCGGGAAAAAGCTGAATCGCGATAAAATCGGCGAATTTATTCTCGCATTTGACGAGTCGAAGCGATTGCTCAGTGTCGTCGCTAGAGAGAAGGTTGGTTTCACAAGTAATCTTCTGGGCGGGTCTAACGAACGTGACACTAGCTTTTATTGCACATCTTTATTCATGACAACACCCGTGGTTTCCAGGCTTCTGGCAGCGCGATCAACTTGACTCAGTGGTATGGCGAAGGAGTCTCAATCATTCATGCGTGCTTCATCTGTGGTAGCGAAGAGCTACTGCTCGTTGATTCATTGGCACAAGCCAGAATATACTCCTTGACAACGATGCAGTTTAGGTAGGAGTTTAACTTACAGTAAATTATGACCGCTAATATGCGTATGACAGACCCGCAACACTTAATCTCATTCAGATACCTAAGGCAGTTTACTCCACTCCAGATGGTTCTTGTTTGATTGCCGCTCACGTGTGTGGCTCTGGATTGACCTTGACTGCCTATCACTGGAGTACCTTCGGCTCGACAGATGGCGTCCCGCTCGAAATTCCAGATCTTCCCTTGGATCAACCGCTGCTATTGACTTCTTTAATAAAAAGGAGCATCGTTCATCTGGTTACGCTTGACATCGACTCAAATTCTTGTCGATCATTCGCTCTCGACATCACTCGCAGGGTGACGGAGTTTACCTTTAAAGAGAAGGGCGGACGAGGAGGAGTTTCTCAGTCCGAGAACGCCACTGCACATAACTGTCTCATTGATTGTCACGCCGACGTGTGGACTCGTTTCCCTGTTCTCCCTGCCGTTCAGCGGGAGACGATCACGTCGTCCAGTAACAGATGTCCGCGAACATTGGTGTTCATTACAAATCGGGACCATCATATGTTCTCACCGCACTTCCACGACCTTATTTACAACTTTGAAAGGACGTCAAAGAAGCCAACGGGAACCATCCTAAAATCAATGACCATCTCTGCCATCACATATTCCGATTTTTCCAATAGCCTCCTTAGAGCTGCCGACTGGAGCGTGTCGAAGTTCAGAGCCGGGGAATGGTTGGTGGACATCCTCTGCCTCATTCCAATTCACATCGCAGTGACGAGAGAGAATCGTTTCATTCCACTCAAGGATGGTGTATATTCAACCGAACTTGAGAAGTCCCTCCTTGGCGCAGATGTTAACCGCATTGTCAATCACCTGTCTTTTGGTTGGTATGAATCTTTGTTCCAGTCGTACATGGCGAAAAAGGTATGATATATGAGCGCCTCGAGTCGAGCGACACTAACTTCATCCGGTGCCATCTTCTTCAAGCCGGTCAAAGTTGTGTCGTCCATGGGCGAACAATCGGTGGGGAAGAGCTTTTCCTTGAACCATCTTGTGGATACGTCATTCGCGGGATCGGCCATGCGTACGACAGAAGGGGTTTGGATGTCAGTAACTCCGACCAAAGATGCTCTTATTGTTGCTTTGGATTTTGAAGGTATGTCGAACCAAACCATCAGTGGACGTTTCATATTGATATCTTTCTTTAATAGGTGTTCATAGTATTGAGCGTTCTGCTCAAGAAGATACATTGCTCGTGCTATTCAATACTGCGATCTCTAACTTGGTTTGCTGCCCGCTATATGTTTCTCATGGTTGCCTGATGTCGTTTACGTAGGTGCTATTCCGGAACAACTTCGCCTTGAGTCGAGACATCACAGGCTTATTCCAGTCGTTCCAATCAAGCTCGACTGTGCTCGACCCAGCATCTAACCCGAGTCTATTTCAATCAACGTTGGTGATCATCATTAAAGTACTTCCCCATCTCTTGAAGTTTTTTTTCATGTGTTTTGACATAACGACTTTTAGGATGTCGTGGATTCGGACAAAGCAGAAATCACCCGAGAGTACGCTCCAGATAATATGTCCCCATCAATGCATACTTAAATCGTCACTCAGATTCGCCCTCAAGTTTCAGCAGATAGTTCAGGACGAACAAGAGGCCAACTTCATTTCACGCCTCCACGCTGGGCAGTTGAATATCATTCCTTGGTATGTGAGATATCTCTCATGGCTTCATTGTTTGATTGTTCCATGTAGGCCGGTAATCGAGTCGCAGGAATTCTATAAGCTGTTCCCAACTCTCAAACGTCGGTTGGACAAACAAAAATTGACGCATAATACAGCAGGAGAATTCCTCCATGTTATGAAGACCTTGATGGCGAAACTGAAGGTATGATTCACTTGTCGTACATTTTAAGACCAGTCATCAGAACTCGTGCAGGCAAATGATTGGGGCGCTCTATCACGTGCGTACTCTTAAAGGGTCCATAGTTCAGTTGACTAACAACACACCGCAGAATCGATGGCCTCGCATCGAGCACAACTTCTATTAGAAATGTTGCCAAATGCTCTGGCGTTCGGACTGCAAGAAGTCAATCCTGATACGGAACCTTTGAAGGTGTGGAACACTTTTGCTACCTTTTATTGCAATCGCGTTTAACCTGACATTATGAAGAACTTGGATGATGATGTCACGATCGGGATGCCCGATACTCCGGCGGAGTTTTCATTGGCAGGGGGGCCGCAATCTTCTTCTCGCGAGACCGCTCTCCAAGTTCTGTCTCGTGCATGGGAAGACTATGGTTCTCGCCATCACGTGCCGGAGGATCTTTGGATTGAGAATTTGATCGCTCACCTCGACAATTTGGTCAATTTACGCGTCGCACATGTCCACGAGTGGATAACGTCCAACGTCACTCGCTTCCAAAACGGGCAAGCAAGCATCGACGAGCTCATGAGAACGTTTGAAAGCGCGACAGTAGACCTGAAGAGCAACTTGCAGTTGTGCAAGATGAAATGTGGAACTTGCGAGCTGCTCTGCATTCAGAGCAGATTTCATGACGAACAGCATGACTGCCAGACGTCTCACGAATGCATACATTCTTGCGATTTCTGTGCGTCATCGGGAGAAACGAAGCCTTGCACCATGTCGTAAGTCGTTAATCTTTTTACTGGGTCAGTAAACTGAAGCATCTCAGAGCGGGGCATCCAGGCAACCACATGTTAAGCCTTTCATGATCGTATCCGCGCACGAGCTCATCACCCTTTCTAGATGTATTGTAAATGCGCATCTTTGTGGTCAAGCCTGCAAATTTTCCGGGAGACAGGGATGTCTGGATGAGTGTACGAAGGTGAGATGCCTCTTTACCGTTGGGTAAACGGTCGTTGAACTTATATTTTAGGTGATCGGTCATACAGAAGACGACCATCTGTGTGCTGCTATTGTGCATGCCTGCGGTCAGGTATGTTTGATCGTAGAACAGCCTTTTCACACGCTTAAAACGCCTCTAGCCCTGCGATCTGTCAAAGCTCAGGTTGGATGACGGATCCAGTCCCCCTTGCCGTGGTACTTGTGGTATTCCAAGGTACATAAGTCATCAAATGAATGTTTCGCACCACTTTCTGACACCTAATTTGCCGCAGTGACGTGGATCATGACCAACACCTGTGCGATGCTCGACTTTGCTCTTTCCCTTGCCAACTTTGCAAGAGACTCTGTGCGAATACAGACCATCTTCACGGTTTGGAAGACGGCGCTATCCATCTTTGCGGGTTCGTCGACAATCATCCAGGTATCTTGATAATTGAACTTTAAATAGGGAGGAGCATTCGTGTTCCGTGCAGTGCACTGCCGAGGGCATCTGCGAGATTGAGACTGCGCCACAATCGATCGAAGCGACGTTCACCGGAAGGCACGAGACGTTTCAGTACACGAAGGTGGCGTGCTGTTTTAGTCTTGGATATTATTTTCTGACTTGACGTACGATCTTGGTTCGCAGTACTCGCAAGGTGTGTGTCGGGCTGGTTACCTCTGATACTACCACTGATTCGCCCTCAATAGTGGCTAAACGACTTAGATGTGCCAAGTCGATACCACCAGGCCAGGTAGCCCATACAGGTCGGCACAACCATAGTTTGGATCAAAGAGTGGTGCATTTCTGCAGAGCAAAGTTGAAACTTTCTTCCGTTTTTGCGGTCTTTCCTCATCTTTCCTCGTCTTTTCAGGTGTGATCACTGTGGGTACTATTGTACATTGCCGCTCGGTAGGTACATTCGGTGCACCTCAGCAGTCATGTTTCACGAACCATTACATTAGGTCATCCGCAGCAAGAGCATGAAACGAGACACGGATCCATGTCCTCGTCACGATGGGCAGTCGATGGCCCAGATGATACGGGTCTCGAGGTCGAAGGCCGTCGCTTCTCGTCAAATGATGAGGGTGCACCGATGATGTGCAACCTCGTCTGTCAGGCGGTGGGCAGACACATCCACATTGACTACTGTCGCGCCTCGGATGCTGCCGCTTGCACAGGGAATAACGAGGTTCAGCATATCTCTAAGCGAATACTGCCTAACCCGGAACGTGCCAAGGACTATATGACGCACAATCTCTTCTGGCGGCGGGCCGGTGAGTAATTTTATGATTATCATCCTGGGCTGTGATACATGGTCCGCAGGCTTCAAAGACCCCTATTCTCGGGAGGAGCAAGCAAATTTCGCCAAGTGGTGCGTATTGAATACTCAAAGTGTGATAACATAACTGAATTCATATCCTTGTTAGTGACTCAATGTGTAGCGGTATGGTTCATTTGTGCTTGTCCTGTTGTCGATTTACTGTTTTGCCAGGTCCCGAGCACACTGCTGCAGCCGGAAATGCTGCTCAGCCATCCTATTGCTCCTTACCTTTGTTTCACCCACGGATGGATCCTAACAATGCCCAAGTCGGTTTAGGATACGTTTCCAATGACGGACATCTCTTCGCATGCAGGAATCCCGTGATTATGCAGCAAGCATTCCATGTGTGAGTGATCGATTAGGCCTAGTTGCAGTGATGTTAATCAATACACATCCAGAATCTTTGTAGCTGATAGGTGCGAGACAATATTTGCCTGGCTGCTATTGCTGATTATTAGTAGATCTGGCTCCATGGCCTCTGGTGACAGACATCCCCTCCCGAACACGCCTGCCTCGGACAGAATCGTGCGACGCTCTAACAACCGCTTTGGTGCTGTGCTGTCTTCCCTATATAGCTTCTGGTCTGCCCGTGCTGTAGCAATTGGTGGTCAACAAGCAGCCCGACGCGACTCATACAGTGTTATTCTGTTTGATCATTCCATTGTGAATGCCCTCGTACACGATTTCGTCAGTTCTCCGGACCAATTACTTGACGCCGTTTTGCGTTATGATGCCGATGGAGGCACGAACTTTACTGCAGCAATTCAGCGGGCTCAATCGGTCATGGAACAACATTGGAGCACGGAAAGGTGCGTCTGTCTTCCTATAAACACGTTCAAGATCTTTAACATTGCTTTCAGGAGCCCTGTAATCATATTTTTGTCGGATGGCGAGTGTCATATTGCGGATCAAACTGTTCAAGATTTGTGCCGCTCCGCGGTTCGTCTTGGGTTCGTGGCCTATTTGTTTGGTTGAATTGGAAACCTGTGACACAATCTCTAGCAAAGCTTTGTCTTTCCACGCAGTATCATTTGGTCCAGATAGAGCTTCTACCTCCTTGCGACGAATGACTCAAATTGCACTTGACATCCAGAACAACGCCCCAAGAGATCCTTTGGCCCCACCGGCAGCAACAGTCGTGTCTTCATATACGCAGGCCTTAGACACGGTAAGAGTGCTACTGCACGAACGCGTGTGAGGCGTATTTAATGTCGTCTTTAGGTACAACTTGCCGAAACGTTCCTAGGAATTGCAGAATCGCTCAGGAAGCCGAGAGGGTCTCTCATACATTGATTGAAGGATACATTGAACATTCGACAGAAACGTTTGGAGGTGACGAGTTGAAATAGTACTGGTGTAATGTTAATATCAATCATGTTGAATTGTCGTACAAATGCGACACGTTGCGTGTCATGCGATTGCGTCATTCATCAATGGTCCGATCGCGAAACAATTCAAGTATATATCAGACTCCATTGATCAAGAGAACAAGAGAATCCCATCTACATAGCGTCATAAAAGTATGCAAACAAGTGCCATTATACATAAGTCGAACTACAGGTGTGGTACCAAGTAGTCCATGACAGTGCCTTGTATGTATCGGGAGGACTCAGACTCCTGGACAATGGACATTGTCATGCATGAGTACCAAGAAGATGGCACGTGCCGCAAGGTACGACATAATAGAAAAGACAATGATACCTACCGGGCTTAATTCCAAGCTCGGGGCCTCAAAGAGAGATAAAGTAAAGTAACCGCCTGTGAGCCAGAGTGTGCAAGTTATAGCGATGACACGCCATAACACCTGTTCATGATGTATGGGGAAGGCAAAAAACCAAGCGATCGAATAGAAGCCAGCAAAGATGGTTGCCACACAAGCAATCCAGCAAACATGAGAACCATCTGGAGCGACTCTTCGAGTTTGATGCTGCCACCAAATATTGGAACTCGGCCCAACTTAGGTGTGGATGCCCATCAGGTCAAGAAATGGAACCAGGACTACGAGAACAATCACGTGAACATTATAATCCCCAAGGACAGAGGCAGACACGATTAACAGCAGTATGAGTTAATTGGCGTGCAGGTGATTTGAATCCTCTGACCTTGACTTGGTCAACCGTGACTTCCAGTACACCGGATGTGGACGATGTACATCGAAAGGCTTATCTTATTCCACCGCACAGCGTAGGTCAAGAAGTTGAGAACCAAAGCGATTATCCCCACTGCAAGTTCGAGTTCGGTGATCTTGAGATGATGGATGACGCGGGTAATGAGCTGCAGAACAAACCAGGCCACCTGAAGCATACTTTCCATCCTATTTCCGTTTTTCTTATTGCTGAACTGCGTTGCCATTAGGGTGGGTGCATCAATACACCTGGCACGTATCAGCTCGAGAACCTCGTCAGGCCGTAGTATGCGGTGGGGTTTCCTGTCCACATAGGACATGAAACCACCTATTAGCAAGAAGCTCTGCCAGTGCGTCTGAGTCAAAAGACACAATGGGTTTGGAACACGAATCTGGCTTACCTTCATATTGCTCTGAGCATAAGCCTTCAAGTTGAACAGCTTTATAAAAGTTTCACAACAGCATGAGATAGTATCTTGAAGGCGGACACCGTACTACCTCAGCAGATGGCTGTGACCTTTGGGATGCGCTAACTTGGGCAAGGGGCCGAGTCATCTGAGCCGTTCGGGGATCACGTGCGTCCGGATTGTATGATTGGGCCCAAAACATACTATGATATCACAGGTAAGCAATCGATTGATATCGGTACTGCTACATAGTTGGCACGAAGTCACTGTCATGATGCTATGAGACCAATCAAAGTACAACACGGTATCTGATACCGAGCAAACATCTTCAGAGCATCACAGATAAGCTTACACGCATAGATACACTCGAAATATTACAGGCAGTCTGATTTACCTGCCCCCACATCCGCCTCCACAACCACCCCCGCAGCCACCTCCACATCCGCTTCCGCAACCACCATCACATCCCGTCCCACCAGCATGCACACTACCACCACCGCAGCCGCCACCACAACCACCACCACAGCCACCTCCACATCCCGTCCCACCAGCACCAGACCAGCTACACGGTGGGGCACCAATCGAACAGCCATCTTCCCCCTGTAAGCATGGTATTAGCACACATCATTGTCCAAACACGGCAATAACACTCACCGCTGCAGACTTCAAATCTCCATTCACTACCGCTCCAGTAGGAGTAACGGATCCGCCGAGGTAGTAATGAAACATCGGCACAGGATATAAACATGCAATGGCATGATCAACATTCCCATTCTTCTTCACAGCCCTCCCGTTTCGTTCTGCCCGCAGCCTCCGCACCCCTGTTTTGCATGCACGGTTCTCCCGGTGACGCAGGTTTGCGGACATGTTGTGCAGGGTAAACACGATGTTGTGATCGTTTGGGTGCGTGGCAACACGTGCGTCAGTTTTGGGAGGGACTGAAGGCACGTTGCTGGCAACTTGAGAGGAGAGGAGGCATCGGAGCTTTTGGCCGATTGTATCTCCAGGTAGTGGACACCCGCAGTGCATGTAGGGTACATGATAACGGTCCTAGTACGATTTAGAGAAGTGATAGAGATATCTAATTCCAAGGATGATAGCTTACATTCCAAGCACGGCAGGTGAAGTCGAAGGAGGTCGTGAGTTGACCTTCTTCCACCTTATCATCACTGAAAGACATGTATTCAATATGCGTGTTCCTGAATTGCACTCGTCGGCACCTACTGATCGACATATCGTCCTACGAAAGAGAGACAGTCCTTTTGATACTGACTCGCCATGAGTTGATGAGTATGCCACCCGAGATCGATGTCGAGCGTGGGCACGAAGAACGAGCCAGGAGACTCTGCCATGATGTTCAAAAAGCTGCAGAGTAATGTTTTTGTGGTGTCCGTAGAAAAAAAGAAGCAAGCACGTACGCGTGATACCGAGCTACGCAATGTTGCAATGCTACTGCGTCCACCTCATCAGCGAAATATCCTGGCTCGGTCCATCCAAAGTTGACCATCTTCTTCACAAACGAGCCTTGCCGGAGGACCTAGATACATACATTAATCCTTGGATATGATCAAACTTCAAGGGTGTACTTACAGCACTGACCAAATCGAGTGAGAACACCCTGTCGTCCGTGTAGGCTCCCATCATCCTATTCAACCTGTCCCTCAATTAGAAAAATCTATCCATTGCAATAAAAATAAGTTATACAATCTTGGCTTCAAATGCTTGTTCAGCATGGTACGCATGCGCGCAGCGTCATACTGGACGTTTATCAAGATCTGGCGCGCGCGATCACTTGCCTCGTTCTTCTGGAAAATGATATTTGAGTCGAGGACACGCTTCTTGATCGTGTCTCCGCGCGCGATGTCGTAGGTGCTGTTGGGTGTATGAAAAGTTCCACTGTATATACGAAATTACATTAGATGTCGTACAAGATGATCAGCAACGCGACACCCACGCCAAATATGTATCAGGCACTGTTGTTTCGACGATGTTTTTCGCAAACTTGTAAAGGCCGAGAACTTCTTTAGTGATCGGCTGACCACATTCACATTCGATGCGAAAGTCACTCTGGGCATATCCCTTGCTGTTAGGCTGCAAGAATGCTACGGTTGGCTGTCAGAATGAATTCCCATGAGGCACAAAGGACATACGCGAAAGGATAGTGCGGTAACAGTAAGGGCACTCGATAGATTTGTGTGTGAGAACCGCGGCAGATGCGAATGGATCATACGGTGAATTGGTACTGCGCTCCCAAGCAAAGACGCGTTCATGTTGTGGTGCATCAGTTGTTAACAGATCAGGGTCATCCTGGCACGACATTCAGCGAGCTTGAGACAATATTCAAAGTGATGTGGCGTACGAGAAGGTTAGGAAAGTAATCAGTGAAATGAGCGAGAGGTTTCAGCTTGGAGATCCGCGTGGTGTCTTCCGCATACCAGCTGAACCGAAAAGTATGAGGTTTGTCATTAAAGAGGAACTAAAGACATCCTTGCCTCGGATTCAGGAGATAGGCGTGCCATACCATGGTGACATCGATGGGAGGCAAACGTTGCTCCACTGTATCAGATTGCTCGATCATCAAACACCACCTCTCGAACCTGCGCTCCATCAGTCAGTGAGTTAACAGTGCAAGCACACGCAGAACGCTAGTAAGGCACGCACCGTTCAACAGCCAAATTAACGAACCATACCCAACGTTTCTCGCTGTCCGACTCTAATCCCGCAGTAAGGCTCTCATTGGCAACTACCCGCTGCTTAAGGCGGCTAAACGCTGCCAGCAGCTGAAGATGGGCCTTGAGCTGATCTGGGCGGACGAGGTGCTGGGTGCTGCATCGTCCGATGTTGAATGTCTCTGGGAGAGTGTACTGCGGTGTTTCGGGCTCGGGCTGGAGAAGCGTAGTATATGGGGGGAGCTGCTCGGTCATGTTGGAAACTGATGTGTATGTGGTTCCTGGTAATGTATGATATATATCAAGATGAGATTACTTGTACTGACGAATGCGAGAGTGTGAGTAATTGCTTGGTGTGCTCTAACGCGTACTGGTATATGTACTCATTCTGCTCACCTCGAGGTTGAACGTTTGAAGTCACTCGCATGCCGCAAGATGACAAACTCCAAAATCAAAGTCCTTCAGATAGTTTGAAGCATGAGATCTAGAGTCGACAGGGCCAGCCGTCACAGCCACAGATATCGTTGAAACTAGATCGGTCCGATATTATCCGAGTCAGTTGACTGTGAACCAGCTCTTTTCTGGAAATCCTATTTGGATAAGTATTGCACTGCAGGTCGCTGATATTGGTTCCGCAGACACTTACCGTTGCCAACTTCACTGATGGGCCCTGATGCAGATGCAGCCGGGGCGCTAACTGACGTTATCTCAAGGCTTGCCCTTTTGCCACCCTGTGACTAGCATTGGAGAGCGGGTACTGATTCATCTTGTCAACAGCAATGGCTTTGTTGCAAAGTAAGCACTGCGGCAGGGACATTTGGCTTACCTTCAAGGACCTTTGCCTGATCTCGCCCCTACCAGGCTCAACGACACTTGTCGCGGTTGTGATACTGGCGTCCCTCTATCTCCTGCAAGTCTATCGCCGAAAACAACGAACGACTCGGACACCCATACGAGGACCTCAGAGCCCAGGCTGGGTGTTTGGGTTCGCCAAGATACTGTTAAACTCCACCGCTACAACTGAACTGTACGAACGTTGGGCTAGGGAGTACGGTCCAGTGTATAAGGTCCCGGATATCTTTGGACGGTCCAGGGTTATATTATGGGACCCAAAAGCAATCTCTCATTTCTTTGCAAGAGACACATGGTTGTATAACCAAACTCCGTTCAGCAAGATCGTCATTCGAACAACGGTATGTTGTACAGCTATAGGGTAACAGCGCACTTATGTAACTAATAGATCGGAAGAGGAGTATTGTGGGCCGATGGTGAAAGTCACAAAAGGTAAGAAGTGAGACTTCCAAGTTGTGCTGAGCTAAATCCATTTCTTCTCATTTGTTAGGCAGCGCAAGGCTCTCAACCCTGCCTTTACCGCAGCTGCTATTCGCAGCTTGACATCTGTTTTCCATGATGCCGCTCACAAGGTCAGTCACTAACCGATTCACCTTGCACTTTATTTAATGTGTTATAGACAGTGATCGCTTGGGACCGTGAGATAGAATTGAATCAAAGAACTCATTGCGCAGTAATTGATGTTCAACAATGGTACTTTTCCCCTCCAAATTTTCGTAGCTGCACTCTCAGACATCTTATGCAGGATGAATCATATCTCGTATGTATACTTATTCCCTTCTACCCACTGATGTCTTATCCATCACCTGCCACATAGACTCGACAGTGCAGGCATAGCCCTCCTGTCCCATGACTTCGGCGCACTCGATGGAAATGACTCGGACGTCGCGCACGTCCTGAATGCATTTGGTTCACCCACCAAAATTTCCAACTTGATCATATTGGCACAAAGCTTTCCTTCCATCCTGAAACTGCCATTGCCTCGCATACGGTTCACCCAAAAGCTTCGCCTGATAGTTGGCAAAATATGCCAGGAGATGCTATCACGGACGCGCAAGGAAAAGGATACTGGCGGTGCTAAGCAGGGGGACAAATCGTGTTTGGGTTTACTCTGTGAGTCCTATCGTTCATTTGCGAATTTCTAAACCTTAAAATTGATGTATAGTGAAAGCGGAGGAATCTGGCGAGAGCGCGGGGCTGACTCCACAAGAAGTACTAGATGAGGTACACGAATCATAGAACTCCTCTGAACGATGGGATGCTGATCTCCGTCTCCGCCAGGCAAGCGTTCTCCTTCTCGCCAGTTTTGAGACCACTTCAGGTAATGTGCATCCATCTAGCAAGAGAATTATACATTCACCATTACTCGCATTTGATCAGTAAGCATGACAGTAAGTTTCGAACTGTTCGCAAGTTCAACCATGTTTCTTAACTCCACAGTGGGCTTTAGTAGAACTTGCGCAGAATCCAGACATACAAAAGAAGCTTCGCAACGAGTGCTTAGAGTTTGGGCCAACCCCCTCATATGACGACCTTACGAATAAACTTCCCTATCTGGACGCTGTGGTAAACGAAGTTCTTCGCCTCCACGCATCGGTCAAAGAGATCTCGCGATCAGTGCGTATCCGACTCAAAGCAGCACAAACCACTCAAACTGACTATGACAGGCTACGCAAGAAGACGTGATCCCTCTCAGCGAACCCTTGCGCACAGCTGCCGGTAATTTTACCGAGAGCATATGCATCCCGAAGGGGACTGTGGTCGTGGTCCCGTTCGCTGCACTCAATTGCTCCGTTAGCCTGTGGGGCCCTGACGCAAAGGCATTCAAACCTTCTCGGTGGTTTGAAGGGGACGAGGGTACGCTCGGGGCCAGAGAAACCCTGCATGGCTACCGTCGTTTGATGACATTCGGCGATGGAGCGCGGATGTGCTTAGGGAGGCTATTTGCGTTGGCAGAGTTCAAGGTACGCAGCTGTGCAGTTAGAGTATTGGTTCCTGGTTGTTTTGACCGGGTCTGGTTTTGCTCCTGCAGGCTGTGCTGTTTGTCCTGGTGCGAAACTTTGTGTTTGAGATGGCGGATGGCCCTGGAGTGCAGATTGTAGACGGTTTGGGGACTATACCAAGGCCAAAGGTGGCTGGGAGTGAAGCTGGAAGTGTGCCTCTCCAGGTGCGCCGCTATGAAGTTTGATTGTGGTTTGTAACTATGTAATAGTATTGTAAGAAAACTGTATGCTAACCTCAAGTTATCCATCTCAGATATATATGTAGAAATATAGGCTCATGACTAGTACCTGTGACGACGGTAAAGCTCGAAGTCAACGGCATAATAGAAAGATTTCTTTCAGAGCAACAAACAACCAAGGTTTGTTCAGGAGACTAGAACGACTTCAGGTGCCAGTTCAAGCTTAAGAGGGATCGATGTGAACGTGCGTAGTATAGTACTAAACGTCGGACCCGAGTAGAGTGATCAACACTCGAATCAATTGTAGCTATATCGTATGAATATGAAGTGCTGGTATGTAGATTTAGATGACTCGAGCCTCCTACTGTGTACTCGATAGCCCATCTGTTTATGATTAAATTTGATCAAGTCCCTAGTTTCTCCTCATCCGCGTCAATCCTTTGAAGAAGCTGCACCGCATCTTCCTTGCGCAGCTTGCAACGCTTCGTGAGCATCTGCAACATCTTCTGACGACTCCTCCCAAACCCTTTAACTGGAACCAAAAACTCCCGCAGCTTCTTACACACCCGCGCAAACCAACTACTCACGTCCACTGAACATGCATCATTATTACCGAGTTCTCTAAGCATATTGAGCACCTTCGCCTTGGATTCCAAGTATCTGGTCTCGTAAGCATTTTGGTAGCCCTTGATGGTCGTAATGCAGACATGTGTGACGGGGTCAATGCCGGATTTTTCGATATGTGCCTTGTTCATCGTCCACCAGTCATCCATGTTGGGCTCGTTCTCAAGATTGGTAATAACCAGGGCAAGAGGCACCCGTTCCTCGCACAGGAACTCGAAGAATAATCTGTAGTTCTGCTGCATAGTGTGCGACACTCTGCCAGCCTTGATGCAGAAGAGCAGGCCGTTTACACCCCCTCGGTTTTTGAGTGAGACGATGAGCTCATGTGCCTTCACAAGGGCATCTAAATACCCCGCACTGTTCATAGAGGGGCTATCCAAGCCCACCTAGATTATTTGTGAATTAGAATACCGACACGCTGGAAATCATTGTGTCCACTTACTGTATCATATAGATTTACATTAAGCCGGGGATCCGAAAATGTGACTGGATACTCGGTTGATTCGAGTGTGCAAGATTGTGCACCGGACGAAGAGGTAGCAAGTTGGTTCCCAGCGATGAGATTTACCAACGAGCTCTTGCCGACTCCCATCTCACCAAAGATAATAAAGTTTGGTGGTCGCGGTTGAGAGGACATTACGGAAGTTGAAGAGGGCAGCGCGCACTGTGGCGTGAAAGAATATTATAAGAGCCAAGAAGGGGGTATAGAGAGAGCTTTACAAGGGTATATACAAAATATTGAACGCCCATAATGACACACCTCTTTCACCAGCGAGTCATCCTGCCGGGCATGCCACTATTTGACGCCCTAGATCAGCTCAAGAGCATCGATCATCACCTGAGGTGATGCATGAAGGCTGCGCGTTAGAAGAGAATCATCGGATTTACCCGCTGCTGAAGAAGATTCCCCATGGCCAAGGGCGCCTCGTCCATACATGCAGTATTCATGAGGCTTTCATGTCCAACATCTACTAAGTCCGATAGTAGTACTAAGTTAGCATCGTGTCATGCGACAATTTCGTAAAAAAAAAACCATCTGGGTCCTGTAGCTAGTGATTCAGTGGATCGTCTCAAACACGAATAGTATGAGTGCAAAACGAATCTGCACTTCTCCACAGTACTAACGATGTCTTCGGTGGACTATAGTCTACGAGGTCGTGGTTCTCATTGAAGCCGGTGTTGAACGTTGAACATGCACGTGACCGACATGGCAGAACTTGTATAGACGGCCTTGTTGAAGTTGTTCCCTGCCCTGTCATTGCCCTCCGGCTCCTGCCAGCAGAATGTGTAGCACTCCGTCCTTATATCCCTGCTTTAAGCGCGGACGGTTAGCAGCCTGCTGTTCATAGACGTGCACAGTGCATATTCATTTCATCAAGGCAGCCGATGCTTCCCAGATATAAATGTCTCGAAGACGGCGCAACTTACTACTGCTGCTGTGCGGCGTAGCCCCATAGCACCATGCTGTTCAAATGAGCATTTAATGTGAGGTTCTCGAGGGTCTAGTCAATATTATTGAACTTATCTGCAAAGCATGGTGGACCCTGGCCTCGTCACGGTGGCTAGACAAGCAGTCATTGGCTGTCGCGTTATTAAAATAGATGGCCTTCTCTCCAACGCCACTGATTAGGGGAGGCTACGAGCACTACGGTTTCCCGACACTTACAATATTGCAGCACTAGCGCTATGAATTGGTGCTCCCTGCCGGGTCATGCAGAGCTGTGCTCCAGAAAGGTAGGACATGTCACGAGCTGCAGAATCAAAGCTAAATCTGAGCAAATCGCACATCTCCAACATGCTGCGAACAAACAGAAGACGGACACGTTGCGCACAGCTTCAAGGGACCAACATACGAGGCAGCTCTCAGGAAGGATCTTTGCGGACGGCCGTTCAAGTGTTTGTGAGCAGAGTGGATCGATAGTGAG